TCCCCCTCCCTCCGACTCCTAACAGCCTTTTAAGACGTGGTTCCCCCCACTGAAGCAGCAGGTCCACATGGACAGGGACCCCTCCAGGCTGGTTTAGGGTTTAGGCACAGTTCCAGGACCCCGGAGCATAGAAGGTATCTGACCTCCCTTAAAGAAAGCAGCCCCCGGGACACAGGAGGCGCTCAGCCCCAGGGGGGTCCTGCTGTGGACTTCCAAGGCACACAGCGACCCCGATCAGCCCTCCGCCCAGGACAGCGGGCCCGGGTTCCAGGGCCGGCCCTCCCAGCCAGAGACCCCAGCCGCCTCCAGCTCAGGTTCAAGCTAGGAGGCTGACCAAAGTGGGGTGTCCTCCCCTACCTCCTGAGCTCAGCATCCAGCCTACCTGGCACTGCCCCCACCCTGCTACCTGGCTCAGGTGACCTCTGCCAAGGGAAGAGAGAACAATGAACTCTTTTGACAGAGAGCTGGGAAAGGAGAGATTTCTGGGAGCCGTCCAACTGCAACATTAGCCCGGTGTGGGAGAGAGAGAAAGCCCGTCTGTCTCACACCGGCTCCGGGACCCCATTTCAGGTTCCCGGAAGGGAGACAGCAAAGGTGGTTTGTCTGAGAGCGAGGGGGCCCTTTGTCCTGCCCCCAGCAAGGGGGGACCCTGTCCAAGATGGAGGGCTGAGGAGTCCCTAGCACTTGCTGGGGGGGCAGGAAGGAAGGCTGCCCAGGGGCACGGGGTGGGAGGGTGTGCAGGGGGTGGGCTGGGGGACAGGGAGGCACTGCCCCGTACTGGGTGTGGTCAGCCCAGATTCCTGGCGGTGGCAGCAACATGGCCCTCCCTGTGCGGCTGTCACCTGACACCAGGGGCCCAGCCATGCAAAAGCCAAGACCAAACCGCCTGGCCCTGGACGGGGCAGCTGGTCAGGAACACACTGTTTGTTCAGGGCCTGGGGTGGGGGAGGGTGGCCCAGGCAGGAAGGGCGGCCAGCGGGTTTCACCAGGGGAGGCAGGGCCTCGAGGGTATTTTCAAGGAAGGGGTTTTAATTTAACATGAGCTTACGTCCCCTTGTCTCCTCGGAGTCACTTCCTCCCTCCTGAGGCGCCCAGTGGGTCCCGCAGTCCCCTCATTTGGTCCTCAGTGGCCCTGCTGGCACTGCCAGCTGACCTCTGTCTTCCCAACAGGCCTGAGGACCCGGCATCCGGCACAGGTAAAGAGACGGAAGGCCGCACCCTGAGGCCACACGGCTGTGGGCAGACGGAACCGGCAGCCGCATTCCCCAGCCGGTGCCCCCTCCAGGTACTCAGGCTGTGCACGCCTGGAGGCCTCAGTTTCCTCACCTGCAGAGTGGGAACAGCGCCCACCTGTGAGTCGTCAGGAGGCTGAGGCGAAGGTGAGGCAGACCCTGTAGGGCATCAGCTGTGTGTGGGTGCCATTCAAAGCAATTTAACTCACTCAGCCCACCAATCTGGGTGTAGGGGTGATTACAACGCCCACTTTACAGATGAGGAAACTGAGGAGCAGAGAGGTTAAGTAACGTTTCTGTAGTCACTCAGTGAGGAAGCAGCACAGCTGGCATCTAGACCCAGGCCGCCTGGCTCCAGGGTCCCCGCCCCAACCACTGCATCACCTGGCCCCTTTGCTGCTTGGCATGGAGCCCGTGGTGAACCAGAGCTGCCCCTTGGACAATCAGTCCCCAGCAGGGGGTTCAGAGCATCTGTCCACAGACACAGCTCCTTCCCAGGTACCAAAGCCGAAGAAACAGGACATGCTGCTCTCGGCCCGCCGGGGGCCATGTCCCTGCTCTCTCTGAGGCACCTCGCTTGGTGTGGGTATCAAGGAGTTGGGCCAGATGTTACTGGAGGGAGAGGCCCAGCTGGTGTCTGCAAGCCTCTTGGGCTGGCCTATGATGGTGCCACCGTCCCACCTCCCAGCTCACTGCCCTGCAGACCGGCACTTCTGGGATGGACACTGCCTGCTTCCCCAGACGTGAGGCTCTGAGCTCCAGCTCTGTGTATCCCACTGTCTGCTGGGACCTGCCCTCACCTGAGGGTGCCAAGATTCTCCAAACTGAACCTCGAGCCAGATAACATTCACAGAGCTGTGCTGATACTGGAACCACTAGCCACTTAGGCCCTTCAACTCATACACTAACTCGTTTAATCCTCACACCAACACTGTGGGGTGGCTTCTGTTACCCTCTCCACTTAGAGATGAGTGACTTGTCCAAGGTCACCCAGCTGGTGAACCCAGGCAGTCAGGTGCCGAGGTTGGCGCCACTCACCCCTGGGCAAGACTGCCTCTCGATAAGTGGATGATCATAATTGTTGCTATTCTGTCGGAATCGAATGTATCACTTTCCTCAACCCTGCTCCTCGCCCCTCCTGGGCTCCCCAACCCAGGGGGTGGCACCACTGCCCAGCCAGGATGCAGGACAGCTGCCTCCCTTCCCTCCTACGCTCCGTCTATTACCAGGTCTCATCAACCTCTCGCCCTAAATAAGCTCTCAACCAGGGGCTATTTCACTGGCCAGGGGACACTGGGCAGTGTCTGGAACATTTTTGGTTGTCACGTCTTGGGGAGGCAGGGCCAGGGATGCTGCTAAACAGCCTCACAACTCAGTGGGCCCCAAAGGCCCCAAATGTCAACGGTCAACCCTGCGCCCCAACCCCACTGCTGGGCCCCAGTCAGTCAATGCAACGTCTCCTAAGTGCTCTGAGCTTACCTGCTCCTGACTGAAAGGTAGGGGAAAAAAAAAAAAAGGTCCCAGAGTTACCTCCTCTAAGTCATAAATGAGATCGCTCACTCCCCTGCTCAAAACTCACCAGGCTCTGGCGTGTCAGACCCAGATTCCCAGGTTCCAGCCTCCCTTGATCCCACAGCTGAACTCACAGCCAGGGGGCCGGGGCAGGGCTGGCGTGGGTAGGACCACCCAGGCTCCCAAACCTTCCAGGATCTGGACTCACCCTCCAAGCCCAACCCTTCGGGCTCCACCATTCACCCAGAACCTAGATGAGATGAGTCTAAGCCCCACCCCTCCCCAACAGCCCCCCCAAGACGTTCCCCTCCCAGGAAGTGGAATTTTAGACCATCAGCCCCCTTCCTTCCACCAGACTATAAATGTCCTGGAGGGCAAAGGTCTTGTCTGAGATTCCCAAAGCCCCAGCGCTGGGCTGTGTAGGTACTCAATGCATGTTTCTTGGAAGTGAATGGGAGGAAGAAGGAATTCCAGGAGCCTCCCCTCCCCCTCCCCAGCCAGGCCTGGGGGTGGGGCAGTCCAGTTTGGGGGCACGGGGTGGAGGGGGGGGCATGATTCTTCTGCCCCAGCCCCACCCCAGCCCCACCCTGCTGCTGTACAGTTGGAACTTGGGGCGGGGGTTCACCCTCTGCACTGAGCCTGTCTATCCGGTTTCCACTGGAATTGGCCACCTTTTTGGGGTGTGAGATCCCAGCATCATCAAGGGCAATGGAAGGCGACAGGGGTCACCCAGGCGCCGAGGCGGATGCTGAGGTTCTGAGACCCACACCCAACACCCATGGGCTGCTCCCTTGTAAGTGAGAATGGCAGGCTGCTGGGGCCCAGAGATCCCCCATTCATAACATATGCACGCCCACATCCCAAGGCCCAAAAGCCGTGCCCACAGCTTCCTTCCCCCAGTGGGAGGAAGTGTTCATTTAGGGAAGCCCTGATCCCAGAGGCAGTAGCCTCACAGCCACAGGTCAAGAAAATCAGAGGAAACCTGCAGAGCAGGTTGGGACCCTGACTCGCCTCCAACAAGCCCCCGGGAGCTCTCTCTCCCTGGCAGGCAGGCAGCCCCTGAAAACAGCACCTGACACTCCTGGACCACTGTGCTTAGCACTTCAATGATCTAATTCCGTGTAATCCTCATAGCAAGCCTACGCAGTGGGTGACGGGCACAGGGTCATCCAGCTTCTAAGTGGCTAAGCTGGATTTGAAGCCCACCCGTCAGCATGTCCTGGAGGGGTCCTGGGACCCCTGAGGGGAAGAGCATCTTGCTGCTCCCCTTCCTGCAGTCCACCTTCCAGGGTGGAGGGAAGCTGAGGCACGGAGGCCAAGGGCCTAGATCAAAGCAGAGGTGAGAGGAGCGAATTACCCCGAACCGGCTGCGGATTGCTAGGTGGCCTCGGAGCTAATAAACCACCCTGTGTTCCTTCCCCTTTACAGGCCAGCCCCCAGGGAAGCCCCATGATCGTGGGTAAGAGGACACCCGCTTGGGGGGCCTTAGGAGCAGGTGTGGAGCTGGGGTGGTCAAATGCCAACCCCCACCCCCACCCCCCGCCGACACCTTCTCCCAGGTGCCTCTCCCCACTCACCCAGGCCTACAGCCGGCCAGAAGGAATTATGTGTTCTGCCTGCAGGGAAAGCTGTGTTTTCCTTTGAGGGTAATTTGAGGAGGGAGGGAACGGCCATGGCCTGTGGCCCCAGGGCTCCAAGGAAACTGGCATCACAGGAACATCCTTATACTTCGCAGGGTTCAACGCACTTTCACCTTTCCCGGCCCTAGGCCTGCTCCATAACCCCGTGAGGAGGGAGGCAGGACAGGTTGTTTTATCCCCATTTTACAGGTGGGGAACACTAGGCTGGAAGAGGCGGGGTGACCTGCAGAGGTCACACAGCCAGCGAGAGACATGGGACAAGGAGAGCTGACTCCTGGGCGTCCTGTCACCCTTTCCCAGGAAAGCCTCTAACCAGACCCCATTTCCAAAATCCAATTCCCGGGAGGCATAGCAGGCAGTGCCAAGTAAGTACCTTAGTCCAGGTAAAAGCGACCCCAGCGCCAGCCCCAGCCTGTGGGGAGGGTGATACCTTTTGTTTGTTTGTTTGGTCACGCAGCGCAGCTTGTGGAATCTTAGTTCTCCAACCAGGGATCGAACCCGCGGCCTCAGCAGTGAGAGCGTGGCGTCCTAACCACCGGACCGTGAGGGAATTCCCTGGGCACGTGACACCTTCGTGCCTGCCATAAACGCCCAGCTGGCCCTCCACTCCCCTTACCTTGTTAAACTGGAAGAGGTCCCGCTTGAGCCTCTCCCTCGCAGGGTCATGTCCCGGCCTCAGGAACCTCCTCATCTTGCTGTGCGCAGCCCCCTAGGGAAAGGCAGGCAGCTGCTGAGCACCAGCCAAAGGAGGCCCGGCACCCCAGAGCCCGACCCGGCGCCCAGGCCCGCTCGCCCAGCTTAGGCAGCCTCTCCCCAAGCACAGCAGGCGGCCGCCCCCGGGGCCGGGCCAGCTTCACCCTTGGCTTCCCCACGCCTCATGCCCCACCCGTGGAGCGCGGTTCCCTGAGAGGAAACCGGAGGGAGCTCTGGACCTGGAGGCCGGAGCTGGTTAATGCTCTGACGCTTGCTCCTGGCCACCTGTGGCCTAATAAAGCCAACAGGAGAAGCCGGGGGAGGAAGCCATTTAGCCCGGCTTTATGGCAACAAGGAGGGCCAGAGGCCCTGAGGTTTTAAAGCTTAATTGTTAACCTGTTTTCTGAAAAACCATAAAACTCTGGCTAAACAGAAAGGGCAACTTCACAAGCCTCTGTCTCCAGAGCCGGCTGGAAGGTGGGAATGCAAAGGCTGTCCACCTGGGCTCCCAGATCAGAACCCCGATGGGGGAGGGGAAATGCGCTGACAACTCCAGGCCAGGGCCCAGCAGAGCTCCCTGCGGGGGGTATGGGGTGGGGGGGGCTGCACACCTGGGCAGATTCTTCCTTCTAACTTCAGGGAAGGCTCTCCAGCGACTCTGGGCTTAGGCTGCTCCCACCCGCCACAGCCGTCTGGAACCTGAGTGAGTGAGGCGCAGAGCACACAGTCGGGGGGTGCTGGCCCATCCCACCCCACAGCCGGGGCCCATGGTGGAGCTGGGTCCGCCCGCACGGCTGCTGGGGCTCTGTCTCTGGAAGCCCAGGCTTACAGGCTGCCCCACCTCCCACCCTCAGCTCTGGCTCTCCGGTTCCAGCTCCCCTGGGGCTCTGATGGGGTGTGCTCGGAAAGGCTCCCTTTCCCAGGGGCCCAATGGAGAGCAATCAGGAGAAGAAATCTGCTCCCAATAAAGAAACCAGCTCCAGGCCCCAAAACTGTCCTCCCACCGTAGAATGCATTCCCAATCCAAGGGGAACTATTTCTGGCTCATCCTTGGGGGAAGGGGGTGGGATCACATGTGCTCCAGCTTCCGGCTTCCAGGAGCACAACCTCCCACTGACCACAGGACACCAAGGCCCGTCCTTGGAAACACAGGGGCTCAGGCCCACCCTGGAAATGGTCCCATTCACACCTGACACTATAAGGGAAGGAGGCAGAGCCAGTCCCTGCCCTGGAGGAGCTTACTCTGGGGTAGGGGCAGGTAAAGACAGGACAGTGCACAGTGCCAAGTGCCCTGATGGAGAGGCACAGGGGCACCCGGCTCAGACTGGGCAGCAGGGGAGTGTCCTACTGGAGAAGAAGGTAGTTAAGCTGAGACCCGAAGGATGCCCTGAAGTTTCTGGCTTCTTGAAAGGTGACAAAAATTAACCATCAGGCCAGGACTTTGCATATGAATGGACCCTGGCAGGCACGTGCGTGGCAGAGTTGGAGGGACTTTCTGGCAGAGAGGCATGTCCCAGGGCGATCCAAGCATCTCCAGCTGGGAACAGGCGGAGACCAGCCCTCTGCACGCCTCACCTTCTGGGGACCCCGAAAAGGCCGCCACTTGTGAGAGGGTTGGAGAGTAGAGGTCTGTGCCTTCACATTTTGGGGGAGCCAGAGCAGAATGGGGAGCCCCACTTCTCCAAGGAACAGCAGGTAGTCGGGAAACTCCCAGGTGCTCACTTGACCCGAGGCCCCGCAGTGGGTTCAGGGAACAAACACGGGAAAGTCCCGGAGGCTCCTGGGCCTGGGAGTGAAAACAGACTCGGGGCCTGCAGCGACCTCGGCCTCCTGGACAAACAGCTGGGCTGGTGGCCTCGCATTCCAGCCATGGGGGAGGGTAGCGCCAGCTCATCAATCTGCCACCCCAGGCTCCTGGCGATGCCCCGTCTCCCTCTCCCGGCCCAGGTCACCGGGTCAGAAGCCAGAGGAGGCTGGGAGGGACGCCCTGGAGGAGGAAACAGGCCTGCAGACTCCAGGGAGAGGCCACCCTGGGTTCTGCCCCGGGGACCCTCTCAGGCTGCAGGGTGGGGACAAGCGGGCACAGGGCCATCTGTGCCAAGGACCCACACAGGCTCAAGGGTGACACCGCCCAGTCCCAGGGGCAGACGTGCAGGTAGGAGGGAGGGAGACAGGATGCGGAGCTGGGTGGGAGAAAGCCCCACTCGGGGAGGGAGGGCGGGCACTCCATCCACCCGGCTGCCCCTGGGAGCCCCTGCTGCCTACCAGGCACTGAACCAAACCTTTGTGCGTTAGAACAAGGTGCACCTAAACCTCATCCTGGATGCTCGTTCTCCTTCCAGAAGCCTCCCTGGAAGGTGAGTGGAACATCCCCACGTGGCAGACATGGAAAGAAGACCACAGAGGCTGGGCAACTCATCCAATCACTAAGAAGGTACCAACAGAACTGAGATTTGCCCCCAGGTGTGGAGAACTCCTCAGTCTTAGGTCTCTGGGAGGTAGCAAAGGATGCAGACAGGACAGAGGATGCCTAGTCACAGCCGTGCAGTTCCAAGGCGCAGACACATGCAGACACACACACTCCCACATGCCTTCAGCTCAGAGCCCAGCAAGCAGTGTGGGTCCTGGCCTCTGGTGAGGTCTGGCTGGGCAGAGCCGGGGACCCTTGCCTGGACCTGCCACTCATTCCAGCCAGGGGCTGGAACACCACTGGCCTCGGGTGACGGAGCCAGGACTTTCAGCGTAGCTCCCAGTACAGAAAAACTGCCCATGTCAAGGCATAAAAAAGTGCCATTGCTTCTTGAAGGCGGACAGGTCTGGGACTGGCTGGACTTACCTCCAAGCAAACCCTCAGCTCCACTCACCCCAGGCAAGAGGTTCTCTGCGGAGAAGCTTCAGGAACCTGAGCCTGGAGCTTCCTGGTGTGGAACAGATCCTACCTACTCAACCCACTCCTGACGGGGGTGGGGAGATGTAAGGGAAAGAGCCCAGGGCTTGGGACCCACAGCCAGGGCTCAAGCACCACAGCTCAGCCCCTCCAAGCTGGGTGGCAGCTCCTCGAGGTCCGGAGAGCTTGTCTGCTGCAAGCAGGGGGAGCAACGGCAGAAGCCATTGCCTGGCGCGGAGCGAACACTGTCTGAGGACCGGGCATACGACCGTGACAGACAGACAAGATCCTCCAGTTCACCGAGCTTACATCCTGTCAGGGGAGCGCGATGACTAAGAGGTACACAAATCAGTCAGCGGGATGGTTTCAGAGAAAGCTCAGAGCCTACAAGAAAATAAGGGAAGATGCTCAGCTCGAGTGACCAGGGTTTGGTGGTCAGAAGGACTCAGCGAACCTTCCCGAGTCTGGGTCTGCGCATTTGCCGTTCCTTCTGCCTGGGGTTCTTTTCCTCCAAATACTCACGAGCCTCCCTCCCTCGCCTCCACTCCAACGTGCGCACGCTGAATGAACGAACAGAGGTGATAATACCTCCACCCAGTCCTGAATGGTAGGAAGTGGTCAGCCACGGGAGGATTCGGGGCAGGGCGTGTCAGGCAGCAGGCTTCCGTGCCACGAGGGGCTGGGCGCAGGCAACAAGGAGGGATGACATGGGTCGGAAGGGGGGCCTGGTGGGCCACAACAAAGAGCTTCAGTTTGACTCTACTGGGAACCCCCTGACAGTCCTGGGCAGGGGCCTGATGTGGTCCGCCCTCCCCTCCCCCACCCCATGTCCCCTTCTGCTTGGCCCTGTGTCCATCTCCTCAGCCCCCGCACCAGCCCCATTCATTGTGGTCTCCGTGCTTTTGTCTCCACGTTTCTCTCTGATATAACCTTGCCCCTCAAGCAGCATACAAAAAATCACCTTCCCAAAATCATCTCCCCCTGACTCCATCCGGACCACGTTCACCATGCTCCCTCAGCGCTTGACTGTGCCTTATGCTAAAATGATGCCTAAAACCACTGTGGACTCGGGCACTCGTCTAGCTCTGTGGACGGTCTCCCCCGCCTTGTCGTGCTTGTCATTAAGCTGCTAGGAAAAATCAGAAGCAACCTAAGCGGCCAACAACAGGGGGCAGGTGAAGGGTGCTCAGCCCGACGATGGAAAGGGTACAGTCATGAAAAGGGCAGGAGACGATGGCCATGGAAACATATGTCCTATGTATCCAAGAGTCAGGTAGAGTCTATTAAAAATATTTACATAAGTCGACAACACAGTGGAAGGGTTATGGGATTACTGGTGATGCTTTTTCTTCTTTCTGTTTATCTGCCTCCCAGGCAGGGGAAATAAGAGGATCACACGGGAGGGGCCCAGGTGCTGGTCAGGTGTGAGGGCGGCCCTGCGCTCACAGTTGGCACTCAGTCCTGCTGGGGGATCGCTCCTGCCCCGCCCACGGCTATGGACACCAAATGGGCACAGAGGCAGGGAGTAGACAGGTGGGTGGAACCAGCTGTGTGGCCTCATGTTTCAGGCGCCCCTGGTCCGGGGCGAAAGGATGTTACTACTTTGCAGGCTATGACCGGTGAGGCGGCTGTGAGCTTCAACAGGAAGGCCTGGGAGGAGCTGGCAAGCTCTCAGGTGCTGTGTGCTTCAATGACGCTTTTACCGTGAGGGGTGTGGGGTAAGAGAGTTCAGGGGCCCCCCAGGCTGAGAAGCCCCCCAAGCCTGACACCAAGAAGGGTCTGAGGCAAAGACTGGGGAAGGAAGGAGCTCCGAGGGTCCCGGCTTCCTGCGCTGGGGGTGCCACCTGGCTAGAGCACAACCCGTGCCGGGGGTGCTTCCTGAGAAGAAACACCTTCTCCATCCGCTGAACTTCCAAAGATTGCCCAACCTCGGCCTCCATTCCTGTCCACTGTGCCCTCCGTCCGTGTCCAGACCTACCTCTGAGCCGCCCTCCCTGCTCTGCCGGGCTCTCTGGTCCCTCGGTGGTGGTGGGGGGGGGCGCGTAGGGTACAGGGCTGGCTGGGCCATGAGGCTTGCTGACCTGTGGCTGATTCGTACTCATTCTCCCCACAGGTCTGTGCCGTGTGTGTGGAGCTGGCCTGAAGGGTCCCCCGCGGACAGCTGACCTGGCGATTCCCTTCGCTCTCACTGCTCTAATCAGTCAACACTGTTGCCCGCCAGCGAAACATACCAGGGCCTAGAATTGGTCTCCCCACACCCTGATGCCCACCCCGGAAAAAAACAGGAGAGCTGCGTACTTGGCAACAGGCTAGCAAATTCACACCCTGTCTTCCCTTCCCATCCTCTGCACATAGACCCTGCCCCCACCCCTGCATCTCAGGAGCTCAGGGCTCCTGAGTGGAGGCAGTGGAGGCAGAGAAGAAATAAGTGCAGGCGAGTGGGCTTGTCTTGGCTCCCCGCTCTAAGCAGCAGGTCTGATTGTGTCACAGGGAGGAAGACGGGGGTCCCCAGAGCAGACGGCTCATCCCACGCTGGCACTGTTTGGAGTGCCTGGGCTAATCTATCCCCAGGAGACCAAGGCTTGGCCAAGCTGCGTCAGCCTGTGCTGGAGGTGTGTGATGGGCCAGCCCCCTAGAAGGTCCCTCCACAGCCTGGGCACTTCCACTGAGCTGCTAAGAGAGGCTACATCCGGAAGCAGGACTCTGGACATCTCAGGCCCACGGGAGAGAAGGCTCTTGGAGTCACACTAGCACCTGCTCGTGTTCACGATCTCCGGGAGCACGCACGGCATGAGGTGCAGTCCCAGGCTCCGCTCTGCTCGTGCTTCCCATAGCCGGCTGCTGCTAAGCTGCCCTCCCTTCCTCAACAACCTGCGTGTAGCTTTGGCCTCCGTCCGCCGGGTGTGAGTTCGCCCCTGCACCTCCCACGGCGGGGAGTGGTAAGAGAGGGCTGTAAGCAGCTGGGGCAGCTGCTGACCCTTGGGCACCTGTCCGTCCCAACTCAAGATGCCCACGGCTGCTTTGCCAGCGCCTGAGTTATCCTGGGAAACCCAATCTCCCAGAGGCACTGGGCAGCCCCTGGCCAGCAGCTTAGCAACCAAACCTTGGCAGAAAGGGCACCTCTGTGGAGGTGGGACTGGAACACCGAGAGCGAGGGGGTGGGAACCACAGAATTGTTGTCGCTGCTGTTAGGTAATGAAAGGGATTGAGAGGGACTGTGGCCAGATGCTACTTGAAGAACTTTACAAGCATCGTCTCATGTAATTCTTACAATTACTTACGAAATAGCCAATTCTGAGAGCTATGGAGCCCGGGCAGTAAGAGTCCAAGTCCCAGTCTGAACGCCAACCAGGCTGCAGACCGTCTGCTCAGTTCAAGCCTCCCTCCCAGGACAAAGGGGCTCGCCAAGAGCAGGCTGGATGGGACCACCTGGGGTCAGCAACTATAGCCTGACCTGGCCCTCCACCCCTCACTGTCCGTCCCACGGAGCCACAGGCCAGTCCCACAGCCCTGGGAGGGCCCTCCTGCCACCCCCAGGCTCTTCCTGCAGGGTGGAGTGGGGAGTCGTCCCCACATGCGTGCGTCCTCCCCACATCCCCATCCTGGGGGCCTCAGTCCCCTTCTGCAATCCAACACCAGACTCTCTCCAGGGAAGTGACAGACTGGATGTGGTCAAGCACAAGGAAAAGCAAAGCAGTTCTGGGGAGAACACTGACGACTTGCCCAGGCTGGGCGTGGGTGGGGGTGGGCAGGCTGCCTGGCTCATCCCATCAAGCTCCATCCCACAGCCTCCGACTTGCCTCAAGACTTGAACGGCTGACCCAAGCAGCTTCCAGGCTATGTCATCTCCAGGGGGGAGGGACCAGACCCCGCCTGACCTGTCCATGGTTGTATCTCCTGTGCTGAAATGTGACCTTTTTGATGAGGCCCATCCTGACCACTGTTTAAAGTTGCAACCTGCCCCCCTCCCAAGGGGTCTTGATCCCTGGCTTTAGTTCTTACTCTATAGCTCGTATTGCCTTTTAACAGATTATTTACTACCTACACTCATTTCCGGTCACTCACACTTCCCATCCTTTAGAATTTGAGTCCTGTGACGGCAGAGACCTTTGCTTGGTGCAAGGATTATGCCTGGTGTCTATACCACACCGCACGAACAGAGGCACCAATAAATACTTGTTGAATAAATGAACAGCTGGGACTGAATGGGGATCAGGTAAGCAAAGGTGTTCTCCAGTCAGGAGCCACTGACCCTAAAGAGTACTGGGCTGGGGCCCCACGGGGTCCTCAGGGAACTTCCCCGTCCTGTTCTCAAGTCTCTGACCAAGGCCAGGGCCATGTGCCTATCATGCCTGACATCCTGCTTGGGGATACCCTTACAGGTCCTGCCTCAGCCCCAGGCTCCAGGACACCCAGCTCCTTGGCAAGTAGATCCAACAATAACATTATTTACTAGAATCAAACAGTCCTGTACCCAGTCCCTCTCATCAAACCCTGGGAACACCGAGTCAGGTGTCTCGAGAAAAGTCTCCTGTCTCTGCTGAATTCCTGAAGGGTACAGTCAGGTATCTAGCAGCTTCCCTGTCCCCACGCCCAGAGGAGCCTCTCCTAGCTCACAAGAATTCACTGTGGTCCCTGGGAAGGGGAAGGGGAAGGAGTGGGGTGACTCTTCAAAGGACCAGTTTCCTCTGAGAGGCAGGGCAGGGAGGGAAGGCCACCCCCAAGGGAGCTGGGCAAGCCCCATGCTGACAGGGCACAGGGAGAGGAGGCTTTCCCGGGGGATCCTAGGGAGCCAGGGCTGGAGAAGAGCGAACAGTACTGGTGGCCCTACTGGGGGACGCCCAACTTCCATCCCATACCCCACTTTCTCCCTGAAAACTACTCCTGGGCAGGGGAAAACAAAGTTGCCAAACAGACCTGGCATGCCTCAGGAGACCCAGGGGGAGCCCTGATGGTGATATCGCCTGATGAGATAAGAAGGTCTCTCCGAGCTGAGTACTCAGGATAAGTGAGTCCAGGCAGCCAGTGCTCTTCAGGGCAGCCAACCCAGGAGCAAGGGCCATTGGCTTCTCGGGCCTCCACCCTGGCCCCCGATCCAGGTGTCTCAAAAGCTGCCTCTGCCACGTCAGGAAGGACCCCCTTCAGGGAACACCACAAGGCCCCTGGAGGCTCTTGCCAGGGATGCTCAATGTCTCCAATGCGGTAGATAGGGGGTCACAGACTGATGGCAGAGAAGCCAAACTTTCCAGCTCCGTGTACCATTTTCTCTATGGGAGGGAGGGTCCTGGGGCCAGGAAGTCCTGGCAGGAGAGGATACCCCTTCCCTAAGTGAGGTTGAAAGGAGGCACTATGGAGTTCACAGAAAATCTCCTTAATTACAACAGAGCAGTGCAGGAATGAGCTACCCCAACCTATCCGCCCACCAGGGTGCAGAATGTATACAGCCAAGCCTTCCCCTGAGCAGAAAGCAAAGCAGAGGAGATTGTACACACACGCTCCTCCCAGGAAAGGCCTGCCAGCGGGGGTCCGGCCGTTAGGCCTCACTCCTGGCTTTTCCAAGGAGCAGCAGAAGTCCCAAGGGCCCCTGGAACCCGAAGTGAGGTTAGGAGAGGCCACTGCCCTCTACCTCTGCTCTCCAAGGAGCAACATCCTCATTCTAAAAGTTCTGATCTCCAGAGGCTTTCAGAAATCAGGATTTCTGGACAGAGAAGCCAAATTCCCTCACAACCCGTCAGGCACATCCGAAAGGCCCAGGCATCTGCCCAAGTTTCCGCAAGTGACCACGCTCTGTATGCTTCGTGGGGACGCTAAGCAGCCCACCCTCACCTGGCGCCAGCTATGTGCCAGGCCACACGTGTTTATGACGTTTTTCATCCTCTCGTCAACAGCTGTAAAAATAAGGCTTGCTGAGTTCTGGTTAAGTGACAGAGCCAGGGTCCTCCAGCAAGAAACCGGCAAGGCACAATTCAAAACTACACCTGAGTCGAAAGACACTAAAAAACTTAATGAGCACTATATCTGAGGAAAGTCCGTGAGGCTCGAGGGAGAAGTTGTTTTCTGTCTTATTTTACACTTTCTAAAACACTTCATTTGCCCCAGTGGGCTCCTATTGCCATTTTTATTTTTTAAACCAATGGGGTCAGCTGGGATTAAGGGCCTTTTTCTTTCTTTTAATGCTACTGTGCATTAAAGCGCTGCTAAGTACTAAGTCACTAAGTTACTAAAATTATATTAATCTGGAACTTCCCTGGTGGCGCAGTGGTTAAGAATCCACCTGCCAATGCAGGGGACACGGGTTCGATCCCTGGTCCGGGAAGATCCCACATGCCGCGGAGCAACTAAGCCCGTGCACCACAACTACTGAGCCCGCGTGCCTATAGCCTGCGCTCCGCAACAAGAGAAGCCACTGCAATGAGAAGCCCGCGCACCAACAAACAGTAGACCCCGCTCGCCGCAACTAGAGAAAGCCCACACACAGCAACAAAGACCCAGTGCAGCCAAAAATAAATAAATAAAAAAAATAAATTAAAAAAAATTATATTAATCCGCTGCTAAAGGGGATACTCCATTGCCTCAAGGAAAAGTAGGGCTGCAGGATGACCCCAGACTTTGGAAACACTGCCCAGTGGCTCCCACAGACAGTGGCCCAGTCTAACTTCAGAGAATAGGAGCAAGCACTGGTCAGAGCCCCCAGAGCTGGGTTTGAGCCCTCACTGACATAAGTGAGCACTGGGGGCAGATGGTTGAAGAAAACCAAATCTGAATCCCCTGTGCATAAAATAAAGAGGTTGGACCATTCCCATGCTTCAGCTCACAAAGACCCAGACTGTTCCTCAGAAGCCACTTCTGACTTTGGCTTCCCCTGGGCTGGGCTAGGGCTCTTCTGTTCCGCTGCTCTATTCCTCCCACCTGGGGTTTCCTGTCTCCCTGACACACTCCTCCCCTCCCTGATCAGAATTCCCCTCTGCAGCCTGACAGGACCTTGAGTTGTAAACTCTGCAGAGGCTCCCTAGAGCCCAGGTTAAGACGCCCTGCATCTGGCACATGGATCCCCATGGGGACGGCGCCGAGTCTACGCCCCGCCCACCTCAGCCAAAGCTCACCTGTCTCAGGTGAGAGCCTCAGGAGGCCACACCACGGCTCTCCTAGTTACAGTCGGTTCTCCCCACAGCCAAAGCTTGGTGTGTCTGTGAACCGTCCAGCCTGAGCAAACCAAGAGCAAACTTTGCACACTTTCTTCGGCAAGACGGTATTTTTCACTTCTTGCCAAGCCCCAGTGTCCCGCAGCGCAACCCAACCCCCGTGGTCTTGGAGAAGAGACTGGGTCTCCGTAACGTCCCCTAAAGGTATCCAAAGCCGCCTGAGGCGGAGAAAGGCCCCAAGACCCAAGTCCCTTCCGCGGGCTTCCTGTGTCCGGGGATTAGGAGGCACAAAGGGCCGGCAGGGAGAAGGCCCAGATGGCAGGAGCAGGGGCTAAGCCGCAAACGTAAAGCGCTCCGGCCCCCGCTCGCGGAGAGAGGGCCACTCTGGAGACGCGCGTCGCCTGCCTTTCCGGCCAGGCGCCTTACACGTGGGGCCCGAGACCCGGGGACTCCGTCTCCGCCCGCAGTGACCCTCGCGCCCAGCCGGGCCGAGCACCTGTTTCCCTGCTCTCCAAAGCCAACACTATTGTGCAAACCCGAAACCCAAATTCTGTAATCGCGGGCGGATCAGGCACAGAAAAGTTCCCAGCGGCACTTTCTACAGGTGTCTTTCTCCCAGACGAGCGGAGCGACGGGATCCGGAGCGAGGCGAGCGGATCTGCGCGCAGCCCTCCCCGCCCAGCCCGGAGAAGCCAGGGGTCCCGGCCCTCCCCTGCCTCCCCGCCCCGAGTGGCGGGCGCCCCAAGTGGCGGGCGCCCCGAGGGGGCGGGCTCAACTAGGTGGGTCCCGGCCCTCACCTCACCTGGAACTCCAGGCCAGCCCCCGTCCGAGGCCTCCGCGTCCCTCGGCGCCGGCCACCGGCTCCGCTCGCTCCGCCGCGCGCCCACGGGCTGCTGGGCGGCAGTCTCCTTCCTGCTCACCTCCGGCGCGGCGAGCAGGGGGCGGAGCCGCCGCTATTTACATAAAGGGTGAGCCGGCCGGGCCCGCGGAACCCGGAGCGCAGCGCCCCAGCGGCCCGCCCCCTGGGCCTGGCCCCGCCCCCGGTAGCGCAAAGCCTTAGAGGCCGAGCGCAGCGCGGGCGCCCTCGGGGAGGGCGGGGGCCGTGCTCCGGCCAATCCGCGGCTCCGTGGACCGCGGGGGCGGGGCCGAGGCCGGCGTGAATATGTACGAGGCACTGCCGGCCCGCCCTCGGCCTCACCTGGGCGCACCTGATCGCAGGACGCCACGCCGCGCCCAGTGTCCCGCCGCCTCCCGGAGGAGGAAATAGTTCCCGGAACGCGCGGCTGCCCCGGGCCACCTCCTAAACCAGGGGAACGGTCCCTCCCACAACCTGGCCCCGAGCTGCCCCGGAGGGAGGGGCATAGCCCGGCCGGCTCTTCCTGTCCGGGTCCCTCAGAGCAGACCCCAATCAGAGAGGGTGACCGGCGAACAGGGGGCCAAGTTTCGGGACCCAAGAACTAGGTGGTTTGGGGACTGGGGTGTCGCCGAGGCGCCTCCTCTCTGGGCGGCCTCCAAGCCTGGACCTTCCTCCGAGTCACCGGCAGCAACAGCGACCGGAGTTTTCAGCACGACGAGGGAGGGGATTAGGAACGAGGAGAGACAGGAGCAGAAGGGGCGCGGAGGCCAGGCCCGAGGCCTAGGCGTGAACTGCACGCTCCACCGCACAGCTCAGAAAGACTAGGATTCAAGCCACACCGACAGGTCGCCTCTCGGCCGCCCCTCTACCCGGACCTGGCTGCATTCAGGGAAGGAGCAGTGGAATGCCATCTTCCCTCTTCGGACCACCCTTCTGAAAGCCAAGCTAGCTAGAAGTCAGTGACTTCCCAGAGAAAGGGTCGGGTCGCATTCCTGCCCTCCCGAGGGCTGCTCTTAGCTCTAGCACCAGAGGACGAAGTACTCTCTGTGGGTGGATACAGCAGGGGTGAGTGCCTGGGGGCCAGTTCCACGGACAATGGGATGGTGGGTAGGGAGGACTCGTCCAGTATATCCAGCCACAGCAAAAAAGGGATCTATTTTTTAATGGCTTTGGCTTTATCGCAAGAAGCAGGCACCCTCTCATTTAAAGGCACAGAGTCCTCTCTTCTGCCCCGCCTCGCTGGTCTCTGAAATCTAGTCCTGAGTTCCAAGGGGATTTACTGCAAGGCAGCAATCTCAGGCCTGGGGCATGGAAGTGCTGCAGCAGCCAGGTAGCGGGGGGCAAAGCTCCCCTCTCCTGCAAGCATCAGACACCCAGGGCCAAGGCCCAGACTAGCCTCTGAAGCTACAGGTCAGAGTCTGGGTGTAGGAGGCAACTGAGATGGTCCCTGAGAGCAGACAGTCCAGGTCCCTCAGAGCAGACCCCTGGCCCGGCCAGAGCTGCGTGGTCAGTGCTCCAGATCCCTGGGTAGCGTGAAGTCCCTGAAGCTGTAGAAGGAGATGTCTCCGTGATCCACCAGGGCAAAGATCAGAGGAACATCCCCACTCTGGTAGGACAACCGCTTGAGGGTGCAGAGGTCTGGGACTGGCTCATCAAATCTGCGAGAATCAAGGTTAGACTGAGACCTGAACAGAGCCCACCCATAGGCTTTGAGAACCCAGCCCTCTGAGGCTCCCAGGGAAGGGCAATTGTAAGACAGGAGTTGGGGGTACAAGAAGTCTGGCCCCTGGGCTCTCCTGTCTGCAAACTGCACGGCTCTGATTAAGTTCTCCAAGTAACACCCAGAGCCCTGGTTGGGTAAGGGGACTAGGAAGAGTAAGGTTCTCGCCACTCTTGGCCTGGAAATCCCTCTGATTCACATCCCTTCTGCTGGGTGAGCCTGGGACTAAAGCGGCACAGGAGAGAGACTACTCGAAAATGCCAGGCATGAGAGGTGAGGATTGGGAAGCCTGGGTTCCTGTAGCACTAACTGGCTATGGGGCCTCTCTCTGGACCGCCGGTTCTTCTCAGGGACTGACGAACTAGCCAGGGGCATGGAGAGGAGGTCCAGCTGGTTTACAAGAGAACTGGCAGCAGCCCGGGGGAAGTGCTCGCTGGTCCCGTACCCACTAATGCACATCCGGACATAGGGCTTGCCAGGGTTATTCTTTCGGAAGGTGGCCACGGCATCGGCCTGGTAAACATCAAAGCTGATCTCCAAGCCCCCAGACTTCTCCACCAGCCTGAGGACAGAGTGAGAAACCTTAGGAAACAGGGGCTCTCCTCCCCCATCTTTTCTTTCCACACCACCCTTTCGCTCCCCCAGTTCGTCCAGGGGGACTAAGGAGGGACGGCTACCTTATCTGAGAACCTGGGGAAAAATCTACTCTTGTCTCTCACTCCTCCCTCTCCCCTAGATATACATGAATATTAGCCAGGGTAGGGGTCTCTAGAATGATTCCCCCAGCTCATGCCCAACTTCAGGAGTAAAATCCCAGCTACCAACTCCTGCCGGCACCCAAAGTACTGTGGAGACAGGCACTACCTGGAAACTCACCGCGCGCCTCCATCAGCAAGGTGTGTCGTCTGCAGCACAGAGATATGCTGAAGGACTGTGGCTACAAGGATGGTGAAAATAAGGCGTTGGTGAGGGGAGTCAACCCTCCAGACTCCCCCTGACATTTCTGAATCTGCCATCTAGTTTAGGGTTGCCAGATTTAGCAGATTTCTTTTTTTTAGTATAGGTATGCCCCATGCAACTTTTGGAATATACATATACTAAAAAAATTAGTTGTTTATCTGAAATTCAAATTTAACTGCTCTGACAACACTACTCTAGTTACTTACACTCACCACGTTCCCATTAAGGACGGTAGTTCTGAATTCATTAACACAATTCTTGCCTATTAGTTCTCTATTCTTAACATGCAGGGCATACAAGAAGCTTTCTATTTATTTGACCAATATATCACCTCCTTGTTCTCCTCTGACAGAGGTGGGAGAACAGGGAACCACAGCCAGTTGGTGGCAGAGCCACTCCACATGCATCTCGTTTATGATTTTAAGGATGTGGTTGTAGTTTTCATTCCTCGTCGCCTCTCCTTGGGCACTGACTTGCCATTTCTAAACCTTCCCACCTGGGTCTCTTTGCTGCCTCCCAGAATGGACTATCCTTGTGGGTTCCACTCCACTGACAGCTCTCTCCTCCCCCACCTTCCTTAAGCCTCCATCAGTTGTGGTCAATCCATGCCCCCTTCAAAGTCTTGTGGCCTATGGCAGGATGAGGGGGTACCTGGGGAGTCTGCCTGACCGGGACTCAGCAAGGGTGAGACAGGCTGGTCCCACGGGTGTGGGGGGCGGCTCTGGGTCTTCTGCAGGTGCCGCCCCTCCAACAGCTGCTTGTACTCCTGCCAGCTGGAGCAGCGCTGCACCTCGGGATCCGAGTTTACATCCTCCCGGAAGTGCTGGGCCTCCTCTGCCTGTTGCTCCCGTTCCCGCCTGGAGAGCTTCTCCTTCCGCTGGTTTAGCTTCTGGCACCAGGACTCAGCGTCTGTCTCCCGCCCTGCCACGTTGGCCGGGAGCAGCTCTGGGGCGGGGGCAAGCAGGAGGGTATGGCGACTATCTGAAGCCATGTTGGGGAAGGAGATCTGCTCAAAGTTCCAGCGTGGCTTGCAAGCCCCCTTGACCCCGTTCTCCATTTTGCCAGTCTCCTGGCTGCACCGCACCCCCTCCCTGGCCAGCCCAGGGCAGGGCTCCAGGGACCCCAGAAGCTGAAAGGGGCCCATGGGGCCCTTTACGGGGCTTGACTCCTGGGATTTCTCCTCTGGGCATCGGCTGTTCTGGTTGCGGGGAGGTGGGCTAGAGGTCGCCAGGCTCTCGGGTGTCCTATCCACCCCCTGCAGGGGGTTCTCCAGGGCCTTGGGCTTCTTATTAATGGACCTGAGGGACGTGGGGAGGAAATGCAGCACATCTGCTCCTGACTGCTGAGGTGCACGCGACCCACACGTGCCCTACTGCCTCCCTGAGCCCAAGCCCAGCTCTTCAGCCCAGGCATTCTCCAAGGCCCAAACACCAGCACTCCCTCAAGGCTCTCCCTGGGGAGTGGCCATGTGGGGAGCATTACTGAGAGCTGGAGCTCCTCCTCTTCCTCTTGCCATTCCGATCCTCCAAGCGCTGGACATTGCCATCCAAGTTCAGCTGCCTCTCGTAAGGGGACAGGACAGAGCTGTGGGTGAGAATGGGGCAGGCAACAGATCCACCTCTTCAGTCTGGTGCTCCCCGCGGAATGTGTGAGGGACTGGCTCAGAGTAAGTCATGGGCCAGGGCTAGAGCCATAGCCAAGGGCTAAGGCCCCAGACAGACCTGCACACGGGGTACGTGGGGGCAGACACAGGGGCCTGTCCATGCAACTTTGTCCAGGCCTCTGGGTCTCACCAATGGCACCTTTGAACAGAGGTTCCCTGAAACCAGGGCTCCTGAAGAGCCAGCAATAAATAATTAATCCCTAGTGAGAAAAATCAGGAGGACGAGAAAACTTGGAAAATCAAGAAAAATGAAAATAAAACCCATAGATACTACTGTAACGTTGTTTCTTACAAACACGCATACTGTCTTTCTCCGTGTTTCTCCCTCTCAAAAATGACATTGTACTAACATGCTACTGTGTAGTCTTTTTTTACACTCAACAGTATATTATGGACATTATTCATTCTTCCCTGCCATGAGTTTTTTATGTGAGGCTGTACTGTCCAATACGGTAGCCCTAGACAAAAGGGACTATTTAAGTTAAATTTAAATCCATTAAAATTAAACAAAATTAAAAATTCAGTCCCATGGTTACACAAGCCACGTATACTGGATAACACAGACACAGACCATTTTTGTCACTACAGAAAGTTCTATCAAATAGCGTTGCTCTAAGGGATAAACTTTAATCTGTACGACCATGCTTTCCCTGTTGGGCTTATAGTATGTTTCCAAAATCACTGATTTCGCAAAGTGATGGTGTTTCATGTAAGCTCCCCACTAAATACAAGTTCTGTGGGGGCAGTGATTTTGCTCTCTGCTATTCCTCGGCAACCAGCATAGGGCCTGGCACCCAGTAGATAGTCAATAAATATTGTTGAACAAATGACTGAATGAATAAACACGTTTCACAGGTGAACTTACACACACATCTGTGACTGTTTCCTTAAGATATGTTCCACTTTCAAGAATTAAAGGGTGTGCTTGTTCTACAGCATTTGTGACATACTGTGAACCTGCAAAGGCTGTACCAGTTTCTCCTCCTGAGTCTGAAAGTCTCTGTGGCTCTTAGCTGTGCTGGATTACTAAGGTGCTGATGCTCAGAAGACCCAGAAGAAAAGAACATTTAACCTAGCAAAAGGAATGTGAAACCCTACTCAGCTGTTAATTCCTCACTTGGTCCTTCATTCATATTTTCACTTAACAAATCTGCTTGCACACCTACTAAGTGCCAGGCACTGTTCCGGTACTGTATCTTCATTCTCACGCTGAGCTGTAGGTGCTCAGTTGTTATCTGTGGAGTGAACGGGCTGAAGATGGGGCTCAATCTGATAGCCCAGGATAAGGTGAAATGACCCAGATTTGTCCCAACATGCTTCTCAACAGAGCACCTCCAGCCTGTTCAGAAAGCTGCAGTTCCCCAAGGATTCCAGGTAAGGAGAGGCCACTTTCTACTCTGGGGCCAGTCAGCCAGGTTCCAGGACTAGAATAAATTCAAGGGAAATAAGATAGGGATTTACCTTGCTTGGAATCGTCGAAGCACATAGCCCAGTCTCTTCAGGTGACTGAAGACCTCAAAAGATAAAAAAGTAGAGGTCAGACGTCCACTTTTGAAAACAAGTAGTTTCCCCAGACAGAAGCCATTCACCACACCCCCAGATTCCAAACCTGGGACTGGTAGGACCATACTCCATTATAAACGCTTTCCCCAAACTAAGGTCTCAAGTCTCTGAATTCCTGTCTCTCACTTACTGTGGGCACAAACGACATTTAGCGGTTTCTTAATTTAAACGCAAATCCCAAAAAGCTGATAGTTGATGGACCAGGAAAAAAACTACACCCTAGAATATTCTGATACCAAAGCTGTCACCAGTGAAGCTCCTGACTACAATAAAGACAAGATAGCAGAAGGTGGTGGACACCTGGCCGCCCCGCAACACCTCCATAGATGGGTGGGATGGGGGGAATAGTCTTTGGATGAACCACATGTTCATCCTTGTGTCCCTGTATCCATATCTGAGAGATGTAGGCAGGAATGCCCCCAGCTTGCTTGATCTCTCAAGCCTTCAACATAGCCAAGCACTTCTTCCTGGAAAGACCTTCTCTTGGCGTCTGTGATGCCACCTCTCCTGGTTTTTCTCCTGCATTGCCAGACCCTCTTCAGTTCCCTTATCTTCCCCATGACCTCCTCAGGTTAGAGTGCCCCAGGTCTCAGACACAGCCCTCTACTCTGGCCACACCTCCATACAGCCCAGTGGGGTTTGAAATACCATCCATGCCATCATGGTGTCCACATTTCTGTCTCTAGCCTGGTGCCCCTCCTCCTCTTTGTCTTTTTCCTGGCACTCAGCTGTGAAGTTAATCATCCATTTGCTTGCTTACTTATATTATTACCCAAGTGCCACCACTAGGATGTAAGCACCATGACAACAGAGCCCTTGCAGGTCTTGTAGCCTCAGCACATGGCTCTGTGCCTAGCACCTCGGAGGTACTTATAAATACTCATTAGTTCAGTGGATGGGTGGCTTCTCTCCCGCGAGAGGGTGGCAGATACCTGGTACTGCAGGAAAGTCACAGTGTCCTCAGTCAGCAGCAGCTGGTAGGCTTCTTGGATAGACAGTGGAAGGTCTTGGTGGAAGAGCTGGATAGAGCCCTGGAAGCAGGGCCAACAGCTCAGCTTGTGAACCGTCCCTGCAGTGGCACAGCCAATGAGGCAACTTCCCTGCTCCGATATCCGTGTGCTACGCCCCCCTCATCACAGCAAGAATAGGGCCAACCAGGAAGGGGAGGGGGGAGAGGGAGGCAGCATCAATAACTTCGACTGGAATGCCTGCTCCCTGTGTGGTATTCGTGTCTCCTGCTCTAGAAATCAGGTTACAAGCTCCCTGAATACTCAGTTGTATATACTTTTTCTCCAATAAAAACGTTCTTCCGGTTTCTTGGTCCCAACCCCTTCTCCACTCTCCCAGGGCCCCACTCACACACTCCAGCAGATACAAGGCCTCTTCCGGGTGAAGCCGCTGCCGGCCCTGCTCTGAGAAGCCCATAGTCTGCCAGAATTTACCCTGCGTGGGATCCAGACCAAATGTCACAAAGGAGCCAGGAGGGCAGAGAAGGCGGATCCCCTGTCTCTGAACCCCACCGCTCACCGCAGGAGACTTCAACTCCACGAAGCCTTCTTCCGGTCTCCACTCGGCGGCCACCAAACTGCCCCTGGCGAGGAGTAGGGAGGGGTCCGTCTCAGTCTACCGGATTCGTCTACCGGGTCCGTCCGCCCCGGCTTTGCCCCCACCCCGGCCCGGCCCCCTCACAGACGCTCCACGCGCTCCTCCGCCAGCAGCTGCCAGAGCTCCTCGCGGCACACTCGCAGTCGCTCAGCCTGGGCCGCTGAGCCGTCGGGGAGGAAGTCCTTGGGGCCATGCGAGCGCTGGGGCAGCTTCTGGGACCTGGAACGGGCAGCGAAGAGCTCCGGGGCACTGGGGAAGGAAGGGACGCGGGGTTAGCGCCGCGCAGTCGGGGCCGCTCGGCCCAGGCCTGGATCCCCGTCCCAGGTGCCCGGGCCCTTCCCGGCGCCCACTCCGTTGTCCCGGCGCCTCCCCCGGGCCGGGCCGCGCCGCACCTGAGCACGCGCCCGGCAGGCACCTCCACCGAGGCTGACTCGGGTTCGGGCTCCATGGGGTTGCGGTCTGCCGCTGCGCGCGCGCGCGCGCCCCGCCCACGCCCCGCCCACCGCCGGAACTCCGCGCGGCCCTAGCGCCCGCGGATCCTACCTCTGCTCCTCGGGTCTCCGGATCAACCCACCTGCTTTCCACCTTCCTGGGTGTCCTGGGTCCTAGAGGCTGCCCACAAACATGTGCCTCGATTCCGGGGGTGGAGAGCTTGCAGGTTTCTGGATTGGGAGGCGCTCCCCTCTCCTATCCCCAGCCCGCCTCTGGGCTTCTCTCTAGTAAAACTTGAGGAGCCCGGCGTTAGAAGTGTAGTATGAAGAGTCAAAAGCGTGACCCTTCCCTCCGCAGCCCTGGGCTGCTTAGTCCCCACCACTCAAGCTGGACAGGGAGGTTAGAAGAGGGGGTTTAGAGAAGGGAGAGCTTTGGGTTCCTGAATTCCACCTTCACAAACTGAAGGTCACCGAGGGCTGTCAGGTGCAGTCTAGGGAGGTTCGGAGTTCCTTCAGGGTCTTCCGTTAGGTCCCTTCCTAGGGGGTCCGAAGCCGGGTTTCCAGGGCCGGGGCGGGTTGGGGGGAGGCGCTGTCCGACCCACGATGGTGCTGAAGCGCCACCCCAGCCCGTCATTAGCACCTCCTCAAGGCTGGGGTCCCCGCCGCCGCCACCGTGGGTCGTTCCGACACAGTCCGCTAGGTGGCACCATTGCTCCGACCAGTGGCTGTCGGTCGGCGACTCTGGCCGCGGGAGGAGGTCGCCGCGGGAGTCCCGGGAAGGGCGAGGGTCAAAGAGGAAGGGGGCCTTCCCAAGTGGGATTCCTGGGTCTCGGTTCCCAGATCCCTTCACATCACGTCTTCTGTCCCACCCAGTCACAAACAGGGTATCTCACCATTCGGTCTGAACTCTAGAGCCCCGGGGCAGCCAGGAGGCAGCTGCACGCACTCTCGGCCCCACCCACGCCGCTTCACCTGGGCGCATGCGCTGACCCGGCCAGCGTCCTCGGTCCGGACCAGAGAGAGGGGGCGGGGCCTGACGCGGATCGGGGCGGGGCCGTAGGCACTGACTGACAGTCCGACTGCGCTGCCGGGACGGTCCCTCCGCTCCCGATCCGGCCGGAGGGAGGGGGGAGGGGCGGGATTTCCTGCGGGAGGCGCCAAGCCGGCCTTGGAAAAGGAGAAGGAGGAGAAAAAGGGTAAGGGGGGCAGTGGGAGCCGCCGTCCAGAGTGCCAGGGACCGAGCAGGACCTGCCGGACCCCCGGCGGGGAGGCTGGGAGAGGTGAGACTGCGGGGACTGATCTGGGGGTCAGCACGCTTGAGGGCGGGCACAAACTAACTTTTCTTGCGGGATCCGCGGGCGCCTTCATCTGTCGTGTCCTTCCGTCCTCCTAGCTCCCCTGTACCGTCTTCCCGCATCAATTCCTCCGGCGCTTGGCCCTCCCGGTCCCTCCCGCCGCTTTGTTCCCCGGTCCGCCTCGGCTGGGCTGGGTTGGGGGGTTGCGCGGCGCTGGACTGGCATTCCGGGGGGCGGGGGAGCCAGCCCGACCCCATGCACTGCCAGGGGCGCCCTCCCCCAATGTCGGCCGCGGGCCTTGAGCTGGAGTGCCATCTGGTTTGGGCTTGGGACTTTTGGGGAGTAAGAGGACCCCAGCTAGGGCCCCAGGCCTGCACAGGTCTCATGCCACAGGACTCGGGCAACAAATTCTCGGCCACCTAGGAACTGACGTAAGCTTTTCCAAAGTGAAGTCTGGGCTCTGGGCCTCAGATTCAGGCTTGGGAGGGCAGGCAGCCCCATTTACCAGCAGTGCCCCGGCTCTCACCTCTGTTCTCCGCCCAGCTGCTTCCCCATCCCACACAAGGGGTGAGGATGGGTCAACAACAGGTGCTGTAAAGCCTCCCTGTCCTGCAGGCAGACACCCCGCCAGAGATGGGGGGCCCTAACTCCCCAGTCCACCCTCTGAATTCATAAAGAGCCCTGGGGCTAGGGCATCTTGCTATTACAGCAAAGCTTGGATAGGGGAGGTTCTGGGGGCAGGCACCTTCCACAGGGAGTGACCCCTGCCCGTCTGCCTGTGCCTGACCCTCCCAGGCCCCACCTCCTGGCCCACCAGTTGTCTGTGGGTGTCAGAGCCTCAGGCTGTGGAGAACAGGCTGCTGGCCCGACCTGCCCCAGTGTCGTGCTGCCAGGGCCCCTCCTGCCCCAGGTTGAGGTGCTGCCAGGCCCTGGGGCCTCAGTGACTCAGCCTCCCCCTCCCAGAACACCACCTCCCCACTTCCAAATACTCCTCTCATGCATGGCGGCTCCCTCCCCCTTTTGAGTGGCTCAGCCCCTCCCTTGATTCAGAAGGGCAGCCAGGGTGATTGGGGGACTCCCTGGAAGCCCTGTCTGTTCTTTCTCTGAGCCCTGCTTCTGGGACCCTTACAGACTCTGGCCCAGCCTTCAGCAGACCTTCAGCGGACCACACCTTCTGCAGACCCCTGAGACATGTCCACCGCTGCTGACTGAGGTGTGAGGGAATGCTGGCTGCTCTCTGGGTGGGCACTGGTGCTCCTGAGCCACGTTGGAAAGATTGGTGCCCCCAGTCCTGGCCCATCCCTGGGCTGTCGGAAGCTGCAAGCTGATATCCGTTCAGATTTCCACACAGCCTCTGCCCCCTCAGAGATCAGCTTTCCCGCTTGTGGTGGCAGCTCACGAAACACCTTGAGGGGGTACCCGTCAGCGCCTAACAAGAAGCCCACTGCCTGGGACACCAGACACACTCCCCCTGGACGCCTGGCCCTCCAGAGGGCCAAGGGATGGCACCCTGACACCTCGGCTTAGACCTGTTTCCCTGCCTCTGCCCTGGACTCCTGAGCTCAGAACCCAGCCCAGGGACCAGGATGGGTCGAGAACAGGACCTGATCCTCGCTGTCAAGAATGGAGATGTGGCTGGTGTGCAGAAACTGGTGGCTAAGGTCAAGGCCACAAAGACAAGTGAGTACTTGACGGGGTGACTATCCAGCTAAGACCCTCCCCGGAGAGCCAGGCTGTGGAGAGAGGCCTGGGCGGTCACTCCGACCTGGGGACTTGGGGTGGGAGTGCCTCTGTGTGGGAGAGCCAGTGAGGAAGTTGGGTCCCCCTTGCTGTGAACCCTTAGGCAAGTCACTTTACCTCTCTGGGCCTCAGTTTCCTCACCTGTAAAGTAAAAGGATTGAAGTACATTCATTCTAAGATTTTTGAGTGCCTATTATGTGCCAGGTTCTAAGCACTGAGCCACAGCAGTGAACAAGACAAACGAAAAGTCCTGCCCTCATGGAGTTGCCTTTAGCAGGTGGTTTTTCCAGTGTGTTCTTTGGAGCCGTGGGGTTTCTGGCAGTGAGCTGGGAAAGACTGAATAGCTAGAGCTCAACCTCCACGCCCACCCCCCAGTTCAACCAGAGCATCTCTGTGTTTTTGTCAGCTTGATGGAGATATCTGTTAAGATAGCTTTTTAAAGGGAATTCTGCTTAAAACAAAGTTCAACATTATCTAACTGCTTACTAAAGCCCCCATCCCCCTGACTTATCTGCCTGTGTCCCCGGGGGGGGGTGTCCAAAGTTAATTTTCTGGAGGTCTCTCTGCAGCCTGGGGTCTCTAGTCGACAAGGTTGTGGGAGCTCTGTACACAGGTGGCCACACCTGACTTCCATCTCCTGAGTATCTCTGCAGTGAGACCCTGCAAGGAGAGTAGACCTCTGGGCTTCAGGGCAAGCTCTCTGGACTGTCCCAGGAGGACACTGGACTTGTCCCCTTGAGTTCCTGGGCCAGCAGGGACAGGAGATGGCTCCTGCCACCAGATTTGGGCTGGGGGAGAGGGTCCTTCTGGAGTGCTGGGGCTCTAGCCCAAGACACAGCTTGGCCCTCTGCACAGGAAGGAGTCCCCCAGGCTACCTGAAGATGTCCAATTATCCCCACCCACACCTGGGAGTGTGGGGTGCCGGAAGGAAGGATTTTAAGGGCCTGGGAGTTGTGCACGTGTGTGAGTGTCCCCACTTACACGCCAGGGCAGGACACCCGGGGTGTAGGGAGATGGAATCGTGAGGGGTGCTCTCTGTGCCCTGGGGGAGTGGATGCAGGGTGAGCCCGATGGGGGAAGGTGCCAAGGAGGGTCCAGGGAGGGCCCTGGAGGCCCCAGGGTGGGAGCCACTGCCCCTCCTCCCCTCACCTCTGTGTTGCTTTTGGCAACCTGCCCAGTAGGGCCTTGGTTGAGCTGCTGCCGGCCTCACAGCCCTGGGGCCTCAGACCTCAAAGTGAGGCCCTCAGGAGGGCAAGTGGCTGGAGGCTGGTGGCAGAAACCTTGCAGCCAGGCTCCTAGGCTCCGGGAAGGTCCCCTGTGCCCAGAGGGGGGAAACATCTGTGGAGGAAGATGATCCTTCCCCCCACTCCCCAGGGGACTTGCACAGAGTGTAGGCACAGGCACAGAGCGATAGGGTCCTGGAACCACCTGTCCCCCCTCCCAGTCCTCTGAGAAGCTGGGAAAGCTGGTGACAGAAAGGAGATCACAAGGTGACCTTTGCAGACCCTACAGTTTATGAAATATTGTAATCCCCTCTATTCCCTGGGAGATGGGTACTTCTACATGCACTTTACAGATAAGGAAACTGACACTCAGAGAGGGTTAGTGATTTGCCCAAGGTCACACGGCCATTGTGTGGCAGATCAAAGACAAGCCTGAGCCCTCTGCCCTGTGCTGCCGCACTCGGCTGCCCATCAAAATTATCTAGGGATAGTTCTGCAAGTACAGACTCCCCGGTCTCTCCCAGAATTACAGAATCATCACAGAGAGCCTGGGACTCTGCAAATCCGAAAGTTCTTCACGTGATTTCTGAAGCAGTTCTGAGAAGGGAGGCTGGAAACCCCTGCTCCATACCCAGAAAGGCAAAGGAGACTGCTGGAAGGGAGGTGGCAGGGCTCCCTCTTTTCCCTCTGCCGGTGGCTAAAGCTTTCTGGCTGTCCAGAGAGAGGTGCTCCCTCAGCCTGCTGCATCTGATATCTGGTCACTGGGGGCCGGCTTTCCCTGCCTACCCAGGTCCTCTTCAGGGAGCAGGTGGCTGGGAGGAGAGGGCTACAGTTGCCCTGGTCTTGCCTCTGCCCTTCCTCCCACCCTCCCCTGCCCCCTTTTTTGAGCTGTCTCCTTCTCTGGCCAGAGGAAATGGAGTGGGCTGGGGGCAGCCTGCTGAGCTCACATCCTCTGCCCGAGCCTAAATCAGGAGGAGCGACCCTTCCACCCGCAGA